GAAATGGGGCCACAAAGTGGAATCCTTGACATGCGAGTGTGGAGAAGAAGAGCCAACCCCTGACCACCTGCTGCAATGCACCCTGAGCCCTTCTTCCACATGATGCACAAGGGAGGAGCTCCTTGCGGCAACACCAGAGGCACTCCAAGGGGACAGAGACTGGTCAAAGGACATCTAATCCACTACCAAGTTTGCAAAATTTGTGTGTTTTTTCTGTTTGTTTGTTTTGTTCTGTTAGAAATGTAATACAATGGTCTGGTTGCTCCTGACATGACAAATAAATAAATAATAATAATAATAATAATAATAATAATTATTATTATTATTATTATTATTATTATGGAACACATTCTAAGGATTATTATTTCTGCATTAAAATATTCCCATCCAAACGCAAGTCTGGTTGCTGATGACACAATAAATAAAAATCCTTTTCCAAAGCGTACTTACTGCCAGTTCGTTCGTAAGCTCTTGGATCTTGCGTTTCATGTCATCGTACTCGCCGTACATTTTCTTTCTTACTTTTTCCAGAGTCAATCTTACCTGAAAGAAAAACTACAATATTGAATATTGCTCTGCAGATCAAATTTTTTCATGGCACAAATACATTCTGTGAAAAGCTAAATAATTTACTCCGGATTTCTTCTCTAATGTATAATATATAATAAGAAATTAAAAAATAACGGCTATTATTTTGTTTTTATTGATTTTAACTGATTTTTTTACATTTATATTTAATTCTGTTTTAACTTTTACATGTTTATATAATATATAATCTCACAAAGGACTACGACCACCTCACCCGCCTCATAGGAAACCTGCTACAAAACAGGAGCTTTTTTGTTGAGTTCCAGGGCCAGAGAAGCAGATGGCGGAAACATATTCTAAATAATGGAAACACAGTAATAACAGTATATTCTAAATAGTAGACTAATGCTTTTATATTAAGACACTTTTGAGTTTCCTTCAGGAGAGATAAAGTGGGGTATGAATAAATAATAATAATAATAATAATGTTATTTCTTACCCTCCTTTCCTCATAGCTTGAGGTGGGGCAAAAAATACATACTGTATATACTGGAGTATAAGCCTAGTTTTTCAGCCCTTTTTAAGGCCGAAAAAGTCCCCCTCGGCTTATATTCGAGTCAAGGTGATTTATTATTTTACTCTGTTATTATTATTTTTCTTACATTTATTATTTTACTTGATTATTATTATTAGTAGTATTATTACATTTATTATTCTATTATTACTGTTATTACATTTCCATTATTTTACTCTTTTTATTATTTGTAATTATTACATTTATTATTCTATTATTAGTTATTATTACATTTCCATTATTTTACTCTATTTATTACTGTTATTATTACATTTATTATTCTATTATTATTACTGTTATTACATTTCCATTATTTTACTCTTTTTATTATTGTTATTATTGCATTTATTATTCTATTGTTACCGTTATTATTACATTTCCATTATTTTACTCTTTTTATTATTGTTATTATTGCATTTATTATTCTATTGTTACCGTTATTATTACATTTCCATTATTTTACTCTTTTTATTATTGTTATTATTGCATTTATTATTCTATTGTTACCGTTATTATTACATTTCCATTATTTTACTCTTTTTATTATTGTTATTATTGCATTTATTATTCTATTGTTACCGTTATTATTACATTTCCATTATTTTACTCTTTTTATTATTGTTATTATTGCATTTATTATTCTATTGTTACCGTTATTATTACATTTCCATTATTTTACTCTTTTTATTATTGTTATTATTGCATTTATTATTCTATTGTTACCGTTATTATTACATTTCCATTATTTTACTCTTTTTATTATTGTTATTATTGCATTTATTATTCTATTGTTACCGTTATTATTACATTTCCATTATTTTACTCTTTTTATTATTGTTATTATTGCATTTATTATTCTATTGTTACCGTTATTATTACATTTCCATTATTTTACTCTTTTTATTATTGTTATTATTGCATTTATTATTCTATTGTTACCGTTATTATTACATTTCCATTATTTTACTCTTTTTATTATTGTTATTATTGCATTTATTATTCTATTGTTACCGTTATTATTACATTTCCATTATTTTACTCTTTTTATTATTGTTATTATTGCATTTATTATTCTATTGTTACCGTTATTATTACATTTCCATTATTTTACTCTTTTTATTATTGTTATTATTGCATTTATTATTCTATTATTACTGTTATTACATTTCCATTATTTTACTCTATTATTATTATTATTATTATTATCTATTATTACTGTTATTACATTTCCATTATTTTACTCTATTTATTATTGTTATTACTGCATTTATTATTCTATTGTTACCGTTATTATTACATTTCCATTATTTTACTCTATTTATTATTGTTATTACTGCATTTATTATTCTATTGTTACCGTTATTATTACATTTCCATTATTTTACTCTATTTATTATTGTTATTATTACATTTATTATTCTATTATTACCGTTATTATTACATTTCCATTATTTTACTCTATTTATTATTGTTATTACTGCATTTATTATTCTATCGTTGTCATTATTACATTTCCATTATTTTACTCTATTTATTATTGTTATTATTACTTTATTATTATTATTATTTTTATTATTACTATTATTATACATTTATTATTTTACTCTATTATTATTGTTATTATTCATTTATTATTCTATTATTATTATTATTACATTTCCATTATTTTACTCTATTTATTATTGTTTATTATTACATTTATTATTTATTATTACCGTTATTATTACATTTCCATTATTTTACTCTATTTATTATTGTTATTATTACTTTTATTTTATTATTACCGTTATTATTACATTTCCATTATTTTACTCTATTTATTATTGTTATTATTACATTTATTATTCTATTATTACCGTTATTATTACATTTCCATTATTTTACTCTATTTATTATTGTTATTATTACATTTATTATTCTATTATTACCGTTATTATTACATTTCCATTATTTTACTCTATTTATTATTGTTATTATTGCATTTATTATTCTATTGTTACCGTTATTATTACATTTCCATTATTTTACTCTTTTTATTATTGTTATTATTGCATTTATTATTCTATTGTTACCGTTATTATTACATTTCCATTATTTTACTCTTTTTATTATTGTTATTATTGCATTTATTATTCTATTGTTACCGTTATTATTACATTTCCATTATTTTACTCTTTTTATTATTGTTATTATTGCATTTATTATTCTATTATTACTGTTATTACATTTCCATTATATCAAAAAATAAAGGAACCCCAATAAAAGAAACTGATTGGACAAAAGTGACAAATTATTTGAAACAAGAAAACAGAAACACAACAATATAAAAAGAAGAAAAAACAGGAAGAAAAGAAAACAGGTGGAAGAAAGAAAAGGAAAACCATAGCATCGCCCCGCGGCCAGAATTACATAAAACGGCGCGAAATGTTCCTTCCCTCCAGGTCTCTACGATCATGCCCACCGTTCGGACGAGGCTTGAACTTATTGTATGTAATTTATATATATTTATTAGGGCTGGGCGGTTTTCGTTAATTTCGTAATTCGTTATTAATTCGTTATTTTTTTTATAACGAAGCGATATTGAACCATTCAGGAGCAACTAAAAATCGAAACGAATTTTTCAATTCGTTTCGTAATTGTTTCGTAATTGTTTCGAAATCGTTTCGTTATTATTTCTGCATGTCTGGTGCAAGTTTTATAGTTGTTGTTTGTTTTATCAGTGAAAAAAATATATAATTATCACACCAACAGTCAACAACAGAGGGAGAGGGAAGCTTCAGAAGTTCCCCCTGTCCCATTTGGAGGTTTTTTTAGCGTATTGCGCGGTCGCGTCCGCCATTGACGAATCGATTCGTTATTGTTTCGTTATTGTTTCGTAATTTCCAAAATTTCGTAAATTTTGAACTTTTTAAAAGAAAAATTTCGGAATTCTTTTAAAAATCGAAACGCAAAAAAACCCCTAAAAACGAATCGAGTTTAGAAACAATTTTTTCCGTGGTTGCCCAGCCCTAGTATTTTACTCACACAAAAATACCTAAAGACAAAGGATTCGGTTTGGGGATGTTCAATGTTGGCATTGTAAGCGTTTGAGAGGAGGCATTGATCTCACCCTGTAACTAGAGCAATAGGAAAGGGATAAAACAATTCCTTCATGCTGCGGGAAAGGGAAGTAATGGAGGGACAGGCACATGCACAAGTCTATCTACCCAGTTGACCAAAATCTTACTATTCACACAAGAAATAGTGTGTAGCCATGCAACTCACATCTCTTATATATTGCATCTCTTCTCTCAGCTGATGAGGTGACCATCCATACACCACCATTTCTTTGTTGTGGTTGTCGTCGGACCTGCGCACCACGCCATACACCACGCCGTGAAGGACGTTTCCAGAAGACAAGCCATTGGGGACATGGCGGAGCTGCTGAGTAAGAATAACAGCGCATGTTATCAACTATCCGCCCTGAGTCGCCTGCAGGCTGATATGGGCGGGATATAAGTGATGTAAATAAATAAATAAATAAACTGAAGACAAGGTAAAGGTAGAGGTACTATTCGAGACCCTAAATTGGGTCTTCTTAGGTCCACATCACGGGAGCACGTAAAGAAGGAGACAGTCCCAAAAAAAAAAGATTTTAAAAAAAGGTTTATTTTAGTTTCTTCATGAAGAAGACGGACAGCCTGGCAGCATACGCAGATGCTACCCTTCAAGTGACTGCCGTGCCCCCCTTGGCTTTTGTACACTGTTATATACCCTCAAGTAAACAAGAACATTGTTTTGGTCATGGAAAGTACTCTCTTTCTAGCCCCTCTCCCTTGACCTTTTGATGGAAAGTACCTTCTTGTACCTGCAGACTCTGCGCTTAACCACAACCTTTGGCTTAACCACAACACAACTACTTCCTATGTGAGTTTGAACTTTGTATGACGTCTACATGTCACATCTTGTTTCTTAAAAACAAGAACCAATTGAAATTTCCGGGCCTTGGGATCAATAGGAGATCTGCAGGGCTACATCAATCCGTAAACACTCTGCAGTACTCCATACAGAGTTTCAGCTTATAAAAGGAAGTACTGAAAGGGTCTTTGAGTGAAATTTGCAAATGCTAAACAAGGGGCTTTGAATGAAATTAACAGCAAAAGAGAAATATATCTTTTCTCTGTAGAAAAAGAGCAACAAGGAAGAAAATGTTTTTAAGAAACAAGATGTGACATGTAGACGTCATACAAAGTTCAAACTCACATAGGAAGTAGTTGCTGTGGAACGCCCTTCCTATAGATATCAGATGGGCCCCCTCCCTATTGGTGTTTCGGAGGAAAGTGAAGACCTGGCTGTTCGAACAAGCATTCGATTAAGCAGTGTAATGAATATAGGAACACGGATTAACGGATGATGAGATTGGATTCTGATTTTACTAATGAGACGCTAATGATTGTTATATTGATGTTTAATTGTTGATGATGCTACTGTTTTAACTGTCCCATAATCGTTTTATGATGTTTTGCATTGAATTTTGCTGTCGTTAACCGCTTTGAGTCGCCTGAGGGCTGAGAAAAGTGGTATATAAATGAAGTAAATAAATAAATTGTGTTGTGGTTAAGCCAAAGGTTGTGGTTAAGTGCAGAGTCTGCAGGTACAAGAAGGTACTTTCCATCAAAAGGTCAAGGGAGAGGGGCTAGAAAGCGACCTCACAACCTCTGAGGATGCTTGCCATAGATGCAGGCGAAACGTCAGGAGAGAATGCCTCTAGACCATGGCCATATAGCCCGAAAAAACCTACAACAACCCAGTGATTCCGGCCATGAAAGCCTTTGACAATACATTGACTTTACTTTGTTGGAAGATGTCAGGTACATCTGGGACGAGAGGTGATGTCCCTTTGAAATAGCGGTAACAACAACGTATCACTCATCTGCCTGTGTGTCTTTCTTCAGACCTGGTCACAACTGATTTCTATGCACGAAGGAATGCTTTGCAACTCTCTTTAATACACCGCATAAAATGGCAAATGAAGAATGACAGCGTCTGTCATAATCCGTACCTACAGGCAGGTTGTTACCTAACTGAATTCTGACATGTCACACCAAATCCATCCTTGCGTTCAGGGCAAGAGGAAGCAAAACAGCTGGGTGTGAATTGGGTGTGGAGTCAGAATGAAAAGAAAGCTCTCCATTTCCTGGGTTAAATATTTCCTTGGTCGGTTTGGTATCGACCCCTCCCCGTACGATCTTTCACACTTAAAGAACAATCGGTCTTCAACCTCATGGTTGTCCAAAGGATCTAGACAAGAAGTTCTGGCACCACATCCTTCGGTCATGATTTGGTACTATCGACTTCCACGAAATGCAACGACAAAGTTCACAAAGAAGCCAAAATCCCGGATTTTTCCAGGCCTGGCAAACTGCCATTCATAAAGTCAACAAATGCTTGGGAGCAAACTTTTATGGAGCTGAGTGGGATTTACTTCCGAGGAGTGACCTACATCGAGGTGTGCCACAAAGGGCTTGCAGACCTGGTCCTCTCTCTAATCCTTTAAGACCGTGTTTCTCAACCTGGGAGTCGCGGCCCCTGTGGGGGTTGCGATGGGGTATTGGAGGGGTCACCAAAGACCACCAGGATACACAGTATTTTCTGCTGGTCATGGGAGTTCTTTGTGGGAAGTCTGGCCCAATTCTATCGTTGGTGGGGTTCAGAATGCTCTCTGATTGTCGGTGAACTATAAATCCCAGCAATTACAACTCCCAAATGTCAAGGTCTATTTTCTCCCAAACTCCACCAGTGTTCACATTTGGGTACGTTGAGTATTCATGCCAAGTTTGGTCCAGATCCATCATTGTTTGAGTTGACAGTGCTCTCTGGATGTAGGTGAACTACAACTCCCAAACTCAAGATCAATGCCCACCAGACCCTTCCAGTATTTTCTGTTGCTCATGGGAGTTCTGTGTGTCAAGTTTGGTTCAATTCCATTGTTGGTAGAGTTCAGAATGCTCTTTGATTGTAGGTGAACTATAAATCCCAGCAACTACAACACCTAAATGTCAAGGTCTATTTTCCCCCAAACTCCACCAGTGTTCACATTTGGGTACGTTGAGTATTCATGCTAAGTTTGGTCCAGATCCATCATTGTTTGAGTTCACAGTGCTTTCTGGATATAGGTGAACTACAACTCCCAAACTCAGTGGTTCTCAACCTACCTAATGCCGCAACCCCTTAATCCAGTTCCTCATGTTGTGTTGACCCCCAACCATCACATTATTTTCGTTGCTACTCCATAACTGTAATTTCGCTACTGTTATGAATCATAATGTAAATATCTGATATTCAGGATGGATGTTCATTCACTGGACCAATTTTGGCAAAAACAAAAAAAAAACCCAATATGCCCAAATTTGAATACTGGTGGGGTTGGGGGAGATTGATGTTGTCATTTGGGAGTTGTAGTTGCTGGGATTTATAGTTCGCCTACAATCACAGAGCATTCTGAATTCCACCAACGATGGAATTGAACCAAACATGGCACACAGAACTCCCATGACCAACAGAAAATGCTAGAACGGTTTGGTGGGCATTGACCTTGAGTTTGGGAGTTGTAGTTCAACTACATCCAGAGCGCACTGTAGACTCAAACAATGATCTATCTGGACCAAACTTGGCACGAACACTCAGTGTGTCCAAATGTGAACTCTGGTGGAGTTTGGGGAAAATGGACACTGACATTTGGGAATTGTAGTTGCTGGGATTTATAGTTCACCTACAATCAAAGAGCATTCTGAACTCCACCAACAATAATCTTGAACCAAACTTGGCACACAGAACTCCCATTACCAAATACTGGAAGGGTTTGGTGGGCATTGACCTTGAGTTTGGGAGTTATAGTTCCCATCCAGTGTCCAAATGTGAACTCTGGTGGAGTTTGGGGAAAATAGACTTTGAGATTTGGGAGCTGTAGTTGTTGGGATGTATAGTTCACCTACAATCACAGAGCATTCTGAACTCCACCAACTATGGAATTGAAACAAACTTGGCACACAGAACTCCCATGACCAACAGAAAATGCTAGAACGGTTTGGTGGGCATTGACCTTGAGTTTGGGAGTTGTAGTTCATCTACATCCAGAGCACACTGTAAATTCAAACAATGATCGATCTGGTCCAAACTTGGCACGAACACTCAATGTGTCCAAATGTGAACTCTGGTGGAGTTTGGGGAAAATAGACCTTGAGATTTGGGAGCTGTAGTTGTTGGGATGTATAGTTCACCTACAATCTAATCCCCATCAATGAATGAATTGGGCCAAGCTTCCCACACAGAACCCCCATTGCCAACAGAAAATATTGTATATTCTGACAGTCTTTGGAGATCCCTCTGACCCCCCTTGCGACCCCACCAGGGGTCCCAACCCCCAGGTTGAGAACCACTGTTGTAGGTGAACTATAAATCCCAGCAACTACAACTCCCAAGGTGCAGAGAATGAAAATACATCCTGCCTATCAGATATTTACATGATGATTCGTAACAGGAGCAAAATTCCAGCTATGAAGTGGCAACGAAAATAATTTTAGGGTTGGGTGTCATCACAACACGAGGAACTATACAAAGGGGTGGCGGCGTTAGGAAGGTTGAGAGCCACTGCTTTGAGAGGAAGCTCCACTGGCCCTGATACGGATCCCTGGGGAAACTCCATTGTTGACTTCCTTCCACTCCGACAGCAGCCGATGGATTCCTGCAAAGCCCTGCTTCCTGTTTTTAACCAGTTGCCAATGCTGTTCTTAGGAACATGGTGTGTGTGTTTTGTTGGTAAGGTGGCTGTCCAGGTCCTGAACCGGTGCTTGGCTGCTGTGTCGGACTGGATGAGGGTGAACAAATTGAAACTCAATCCAGACAAGACAGAGGTACTGCTGAGCAAATTGAAGATGTAACCAGACAAGACAGAGGTCCTCCTGGTCAGTCGCAAGGCCGAACAGGGTATAGGGTTACAGCCTGTGCTAGATGGGGTTACACTCCCCTTGAAGACACAGGTTCGCAGCTTGGGGGTCCTCCTGGACTCATCGATGAGCCTGGAATCCCAGGTGGGTGCGTTGGCCAGGGGAGCATTTGCATAATTAAACTTGTGCGCCAGCTGCACCCGTCCTTGGGAAGTCTGATCTGGCCACAGTGGTTCACACTCTTGTTACATCCCGAATAGACTACTGCAACGCACTCTACGTGGGGTTGCCCTTGAAGACTGCCCAGAAGCTACAACTAGTCCAACGAGTGGCAGCCAGACTACTAACAGGAGCGGGGTACGGGGAGCATAGTACTCTTCTGCTGTGGCAGCTCCACTAGCTGCCAATCAGTTTCTGAGCACAACTCAAAGTGCTGGTGTTGACCTATAAAGCCCTATTTTTTATTATTATTATTATTATTATTATTATTATTATTAT